CTGCATCGCTTATAACCTGACCTGTCCTTAATCTTTCCTTGTAAACTGCCATCTCGCTTCTATACCTTTCTTTATCCTTCACACCTATCTCCTGGTAAACCTGAAACAGAAACATCAGATACATAAGGAAAATTAATAAAGAACAAAAAATCAAAAAGAATAATATAAAAGGGTTATTTGCACTTTGGTACCCTACATTAAACAACTTTGTTTAACTTCGATACGCAAAAGTTCACTTTTCTTATCTATGATATCCCAAATCTTTCCTTAAAGCTTACACATATTTTGACTTTGATAACCCTAAGTTTACATCCTTTTAACTTTGATACACCAAAGTTTACATTTTTTTTAATTCCGATACTCCAAACTAGGGGTATCAAAATGCCAAAAATTAAACTTCAGGGTATAAAATAAAACGGTGTTCTTTGGGGCATCAAAGGGAGAAAAAAAATTTTGAGGTATCAAAGTCAAAAAAGGTGTAAACTTCAAGTTATCAGTGTCAGAAAAAAAATATTGGGGTACCAAGTAATTAAATAAAAAAGGTTTCAACTTTAGGACATCAAAGTGCAAATAACCCAAATAATATAAAAGATTAATGTCTTAATGATTACAGATTTCTCGGTGTCAGTTAGTTTGTTCCAAAGATCCCCGATAATTTTACTGATTGCTCTGTCTCTTCCTGGATGAAGCGGTTTAAGCCTGGCATGCTGCTCTTGGAAAAAAAAATTGTACCCGCTCCGGTTAGGCTTTGGATGTGAAGGGTCACGCTTGCTGAGCTTCTTTTTACGGCGGCGACGGCGATCAACCTTCTCAACACTATAGTCAGCATTCCCTGAAAATACTGCTGCTCGGTTTGAACTCTGTTCTTGAGTGTGAAAAAGGACACCTCTGAGCTTTTGTGCGCCAACATTCACAGTTCAAGTGGACGGTATCAAAGTCCGTCGTTACCTAGCATTGCCTAGCTGTGACGCTGTGGACCTGCCGTCATTAGATGGACCCAACTTGTGTTGGAGGACTAGGACGAGAATGTTAATCAGAGGCCTCAGAACTAAGAACGTGTAAATGATGCTTGATCAATTGAATGGACAAAGTGAAAAGGGTCAAAACCCTCCCCCAAGAACCCAAGACTTTGAGGTGTTTGCACAGCCTCCCTCCCCCCCAGCCACAAACAAAAAAAAAATTGTGAGCTAGTAGGTATCACGCTTGTTTTGAAGCCAAATTTAAGGAAGGTTTCATGAAATTACTAATGTATTAAATAGATAAGGCAAAATTGTCCAAACTATGTGACAAGATAAGCAAATGACAACTTAAACTAATTGTTGTCAGTCGTGATAGTTTATTGGTAAGAGGAGTTCTCTCGAATTCGTAAAGTTTAGGAATTTTCTGCAAAACACCCCAAAGTCCAGGGTTTTTGTGAAATTTACCATGTAAGGTTTTTGTGAAATTTACCATGTCAAATAAGGAAAAAGCTGAACAAGTTTCCAAATACATCCTCAAAAAATAGGTGCAAGCATGATGGAAGTTGTCACTGAAAAGGGGCTTCATTTTGAGCATGCACAAAATATGCAAAGTGCATAACATACTCCAATAATAAAATAATGACACTATAAAAAACTGTACATTAACACTTGCTTAACATTTATCTGGACATATCAGAAACAGATGTATAGGATTTTAGAACACAAATAAGAAATTGCGTGTCAAAGTTGGATATGAAGATCGTGCATTGAACCACAGTGTTGCCATGTACCACAAAAAAAACTATATTATTTAATAATGTTATTTTATTATTAACATTTATATATTAATATTTTAATAATAATGTTCTTTTATTAATATTTTTATATTAATATTTTTAGTATTAATATTTTTATAATAATGTTATTTCATTATTATTTTTATATTAATTTTATAATAA